TGCCGGGAGGAGGCGGCGTGGCGGCTCCGGTCCCGCCGCGGGAAGAGGTATGGTGTCATGGCACGAGCTGCGTCCCTGCAGCTCTGTGTGACTGAATCCCTTCCCACAGCGGGGGCAGAGCCTGGCGGAGTGCGGGTTTCTCTTTTGCCCTGGGAACTCATGCCTTGAGCTATTTTTGTTGTGCGGTTGGCGATGGGGCGGTTTGGGGGCAGGGGGTGTACGTGGTTGGGAGGTGCTGGGCGGCCAGATGCAGCCCCTGGGAGCCGCGGTCCCAGGGGCAGGTTGCTGTGTGACAAGAGGTTTTTGGCTGAGGAAAGAAAGGGTAAAGCGGGGGTGTGTGGTGCCCCTATGCAGAGGTGGGCACCGGGTGGTGCAGTGGAGTTGGTGGCACCTTGTTCCCTCCCAGCCCGCTGTGAGTCAGTAGTTAATTTACCTCGTTTGCAAATCGATGAGCGAGGTGGTGACCAGCCTGAACCACGGCTGGAGGCAGAGCGCGGCCGAGCAGCAGGCAAGGGCGGCTCCGCGCAGCAGCGTTACAGCCCTGATACGTCAGGCACCACGTTCGTGGCGGTTTAGGGTTATTTTTGGTTGGGGTTTTTTTTGTTGGCTGTAGTACCCAGCCCACTGCAGCAGCGTGGCCGTGCTCTTACCGAGTCTGTTCAAAACCACTACCAGGAGTTAGCGCCGCGGTGCTGCGCGGCAGGGACCCAGCTTTGCACCATCTCTTCTGAGCCACAGTGATCACCGACGGAGGAGTTGCCTCTTTTCTCCCGCCTTTCAGCACGTGGGCTGCGCATTCTTAGGGCAGCCGGAGGCTTAAAGCCTGGGCAGAGCTGCTAAGCTGTTCTCCGTGTGGTGCCAGCCAGTGTTAAACAGCCGACGCACCTGCACGCATGACCCTGGGCTGGGGTTTAGCACCAGCCCTTCCAGGCCAGGCTTTCCTCGCACACCTGCAGCTTTGCTTTTTTTTTGGGGGAGGGGGGGCAAGAGGGGAACAGAAAAGGAATCTGAGTTAGACTTGATTCTTTTGTGGGATTTTTTTTTTTTTTTTTAAATGTGAACCTGACAACATAGCATAATTATTTTTGTTGTTGTTTTTGTACTGATGCTGTATTGTCTTCAAGGTCTGATGGAGTATTACCAAGCTAAGCTGGGCCTTCTCCCTCCAGGGAAGCACTAAAGGTTTTAACCACTGTTGGGTTTGCAGAGGAAATGTCTCCCTGTCCCCTGTGACAGTTTTTGCTAACAGCCCTGAACCGTGTAGCTGAAGACCAAGGCTGGAGTAGCTCGAGTGCTTTAGTTGTGTAGTGCACTAATGTTTTCACGTCCCAATGTGTTTCTTGACAGCGCCACAGACTAGCAGAAAGCTCCAGCAGATGAACAAGAGCTATGCTGAAACCCATTTCAAGCACTTAAATGTTTTAAGGGCTTAGAGTAGGACTTAACTAAAGCAAGCAGGAGCCATTTCTTTTAAATTTAAGATGAGCAGGATTAAGAAAACCTTTAAGTATTAGTTTTTTGTACCTGTGCTGTGGCTCAGCTCATTTAACATGGAGCGGGTAGGGCAGACTGCTTACCCGGTTCTCCAACATGACGGAGGGTGACTGTCCTCTGTCACCCCATCCAAGCATGGAGTCTGGGGAGCGGTTACACTAAAGCAAGCAGGAGCCATTTCTTTTAAATTTAAGATGAGCAGGATTAAGAAAACCTTTAAGTATTAGTTTTTTGTACCTGTGCTGTGGCTCAGCTCATTTAACATGGGCGGGTAGGGTTTTTTTTAGGGAGCAAAAAAAGAGGCGGCCCCGGAGTAGCCGTAATGAGCTCCCTGTACGCCGGGTGGGGCCGAGACCAGGCCTGAACACTGGAGCCGCCTTTCAGCAGACGCTGAGCCAGGCTCAGGTCCCGCGACCGGAGCCAGGCCCAGCTTTGCTGAGCGACCACCTGTAACACAGGTAAATGCCACTTTTGTGTTTACTGCGGTGCGGGGGAAGCAGGAGGGAGGAGATCTTCCAGGCTGGACTGGTCACCTCTAGAACCAGCCTTTTGTAATGCCTGTGGCTCCCCCCCTGCACCCCACACACAGGCACGGACCACCAGAGGAGGGAAGGGGGTAGGGTATTTAACAGGTTTTTCACAGTTCGTTTGCTTTACCCATGTTCGCTATGCACACACCACACTTTTGTACTAGTCTGTGTTTAAAAAAAAGTAATAAACTTGGAAGTTTATACAATCAGACTAAGTTTTAATGAATGTTCCATGGTTTCATCATTGAAAGTTAGGGGCCACCTTGAATGCAAGAGCTGTTTATTAATATTTTATTGATGACAAACAGGTTTAAAACAAACTGAGACAAAATCAAAAAAGAGTAACACCGTGCTAGCACTGATGTCTGGATTTATAAAACTCAGAGTAACTGCTACAAAGGAAAAAACCAGCACAAAGCAGAGGCAAGCATTCCCATCAGTGAAATAAAGGGGGTGAGGGGAGAGGAGGGGGTTACATTACTCAATGGATTGCATTGCACAGAGGGTTACAGCTTAAACCTATTGGAAAAGTCTATGCAACTACGCAGCCTACAGAAGGAAAAAAATTAAAAAGCCCTTCGGCAATGTTAATAAATAAAACAGTCCATCTTACAAGGAGGGAAGGTGGCCCATGTCTCCATTCTTTCACATTTTAGAAGTCTAAACTCTGGAGGCTTTTTATGAGAAAAGAATGGTTTTCATTTCTGGAAAAGTTTCTTTTGCAGTTCTTGAACTACGTTCACTGCAGGACTGAACAAAAATGTTGAACACCTGTTCCATGTTTATGTGCACACTACTCACAGTTTGTGGGTATGCTACACCAGGTCTGCACTGGGGGAGAGACACTCTTGAAAAACTACAGCAAATACAGGTTATGAAAGCGGGTCAACAATCTACAGAAAGGACAGTAATGAAAGGGCTTTCCCCCCCCAGTTACAAAAAGTGGGTTTTACATCATTTGAGTACATTCATATGAGAGGTATTTTGAGTTCTCTCAAAAAAAAGACTAGAAACACTTGGAGCCCTTTGAGTATAAAGCTAACTTAATTCAAACTTTAAAAACACCTAGGTTAGTGAATCACACTCTACTGTTCTTTGCCAATTAGGAGGTAGAGGTTAGTCTAATTTAGGGATCTGATAAAAATGGGTCTGTAGGAATTTTAAATTCTCCGCGCTGTTTCTAAAAAGGTTTAAACAGAAATAAAATGCTCCCAGTGTTCCCATATGACTTATTTAAGACATGGGTACAACTTAGAAATTGGATGGCTTCTCTTATGTGCTGTTTTCAGTTTTGACTTCCAGCTATTTCTCAAGCCAGCATTGATGGCACAGCCGTGTCCACTACCTGAAAAATAGGCTCCGGGTTTGGTTTTCAACACCTGACTCTTTCAGCTATCTGCATTAATCACCGAAGAAGCCACACAAAAGCCTAACCCATTATCTCTAATTATACCCAGCTATCAGAGGCCACCTTCCAACAACTGCCTGCTTTGTCCATTTTTCCAACCTGCTTCAGTAACATTGTAGAGTCTTTACTTCAAAACCAATATAATCCCCAGTTTCCACTACTTCTTCCCCAGATCTGAGGGAGCGAGTAAAGCAGGCCTGTTAGCATCTTTTCCTCCAGGGCCGAAGGGCACAGGAACCCATCCCCTTTCAAGCGCAAAGTTCACCTTACAGAAAGGCTTGTTTTTCAGAGTAGAGTCCAGACAGTAGCCAATTAAAGCATACAGAAAACACTTTGAAACCCTCCTCCTGCTTGAGCGCGCAGGCTCCTTTCACTCTAACTGCTATCCAATGTAGGAAGAAGAGGCTGATTGCTGCAACTTTTAATCACACTGAAAGTTCTCAATGTTGGTGCTCTAATTTAGTTTTGTTTTAAACTTTTTGTAAGCTTCTCAGAACAAGGATCTCCCAGGTCCACCACTAAGAATTCAGAGACAAACTTCTAAAAATTCAGTGCTCCTTTGAAAGAATCTCTTTAAAACCACCTTGTCACGAAAGACCCATTCAGAATGTGGGCGACACGATGACACTAGGATTTCAGAGCCAGTGTTGGACAACAAAACCTGCATCTCAGAGTTGAGCATCAGCTATGTTCTGCTGGATTTCTGCTTGGCTTGCTGTCACTTAGTCAGGAACTCTCTCTCTCTCTCAAGATACTCTGCTTCTAAAATGTAAACAGTTACTGCTAAAATATAGTACCCCTTTAAAACGAGAACAACTCTGAGATGAGGGTTTTCCTCTCCCCATCTGCTCTGAAAAGTAATGCCCTGCTCGCAAAGAGAAGTATGGAATGAAGTGAAACCTGCTTAAGGCCCTTCTCTCGAGCTTGTTTGACTGGGGGAGCAGGGACTCAGCTGACCACTCATTTCAGGGTGAGTTGCCTTCCCAGTGAGGCGCCAGCCAGTCCTTCGGTGCTCTCTCTCCTCTCCGGTCAGTCTCCTTGTCTCAGTGAGCTAGCAGTGGGCTCTCTCGCGCGCGCTCCTTTCTCTCTCTCTCCTCTCCGTTGGTTGGTTTCTTTCTCCTGTTGCTCTCACACAGTGGTGCTTCAGTTTTAGCAGTGGAAAACAGGTATCCATTTTATTTTATTTTTTTTATTACCCAGAATAAAATGCTGATGAACTAAGCTCCACACAAGCTTAGCTCTTCTTCCTCAACCTGAAAGGAAGAAAGCAAACCAACAGTTGCATTAGGGATGTCGCTCTTAAGACAAACACTGTGTTCATGAACTTAAATCAGGGAGTAAGAAGCAGAGGACTGAACCTCAGGTGCCTTACACTCTAATACTGTGACAGTCCCGTCACTCCGCCATGTTGATATGCACGTTCACCCTGGTAAGTAGAGTCCTGTGACAGCGCCACATCAATCTGAGATTTAAACTCATCACCAAGGTAACTGTCCTGAAAATGAAAGTGTGTATTAAGCCTCTAACTCATTATCAAGCTCAAGTGCTCCCTTACAAAGCAGAATACCTGGCAGCCAAGGTTAATGATAGAGTGAGAGGTTTTTTATTTTTTTTATTACCCAGAATAAAATGCTGATGAACTAAGCTCCACACAAGCTTAGCTCTTCTTCCTCAACCTGAAAGGAAGAAAGCAAACCAACAGTTGCATTAGGGATGTCGCTCTTAAGACAAACACTGTGTTCATGAACTTAAATCAGGGAGTAAGAAGCAGAGGACTGAACCTCAGGTGCCTTACACTCTAATACTGTGACAGTCCCGTCACTCCGCCATGTTGATATGCACGTTCACCCTGGTAAGTAGAGTCCTGTGACAGCGCCACATCAATCTGAGATTTAAACTCATCACCAAGGTAACTGTCCTGAAAATGAAAGTGTGTATTAAGCCTCTAACTCATTATCAAGCTCAAGTGCTCCCTTACAAAGCAGAATACCTGGCAGCCAAGGTTAATGATAGAGTCTGAGAGGTTTTGTTGGTTTTTTTTTGTTTGGTGGTGGTTGTTTGTGTGTTTGTTTTTTTTAAATCTGCTCTTTTTGCTGCAGAATTTCTATAAATACAAAAGTTTTTGCGATAGCTGGTTGTTGAACAGGCAAGCAGTTCAAAGTTAAGGCTCGAGCTGAAGTCTATACATGCAGCATTTCACTAAAAGTAAAATGCCTGAGCGTACTTAGAGTCCACCAAGTGGAGGAGTACAAAGTGCTGTGGCCGAGTCACTGAAAATGGTTTTAGTTTCCATTTTCCTCAGTACTAGGAAACAAGGATGTGCATGCACACAGATCACTGACATAAAACCCAGGAAAGAGAGCAGACTATACATCAAGTTCTGCTTACCTGTGATAATTCTGGTTGGGAGAGCCCAGGCTGACTCATCTGTGATGGCTGACTCATGGAGATATACCCCTGAGTCAGTGGACCCTGGGAGAAAGGCTGGGACACCACATCTTGGCTCGCTTGACTATTTGGAAGGTTTGACTGACTAGTTCCAGGAATCCCAAAACGATTTTTCTGGCGCCCACCACGACCAGTCTTTCCTTTTGGCGCCCCACGTCCTGGAAAAGCGTTTATTCCAACCAACAGTGAGAAGTCTTACACATGCAAACGTGAGAATTGACTGTTTCTATAAAGGCTTGATCACTTGCAAGAGGCAATGTTTTATATGTACTCAAAAGGCAGAACCACCAGCGTAGACATGGCAAAGGGACACTCACTGGAGGCTGCAGTGCTATTGTGTTTGTACTCCATACAACTCTGATTTATTACTGAAGCACATCGTTATCTACTCTCACCAGCACTGCTGCAAGAGTAGCAAAACCCATTCTCCGACTTCAGACCTAAAATGTGGCTGTTGTACCATTTCACCCTTGCCCCCGTACCTGCGGCTGGTCCGTTAGCCTGGCCAAAGTATCCCGGTGGTGGCATTGGTGGCATCACAAGGTTGAAAGGGATAGGAATGTTCATAGCAGTGACGTGGCTGGGGCCAGCACTAATCATCCCGATCTGGTCATGGGTTTGGAAGTACATGTTGGATGGGCGCCCTGGGGAGGGGAGGAAAAGCCACAATGGTTTCAGGCATCCCGAGTATTTAAAAATCAATTCATATTCCTGCTTTTAACAGTAGTGGGAGGACTTGTGAGCAGGATAAATCAGAACCAGAAATTGAAGGGACAAGCCTAACATTGCCAAGAACCACCAGTATTTCCAGTTCACTGTTTACTCCACACTTGAAAATTTCAGAGGCTCATCTAACACATGTTCATCTCTACACGGTTACTCTTCTCCAGCACCATCCAAGACTCCTGAAATGCTTACACACACACACTCTTCCTTTCCCCTCATTTTTTACTTGCTCTGCAGACATCAAGTTAGACTGTAGGGGCTTCTATATACAGAGAGCAAAATCCAGGCACATCGTGAACATTTTCAGTTCTTAAATTCTGTATTTTTCTGCAGTGCCTCTTCAAACATTTAAAAGTTTGAAGTCTGTAAGATACCATACACCAAGGACTAGTTGGGGGGGGGGGGGGGGGGGG